GCACGTGCAAAGGCCCTGAAGCAGGAGTGTACTGCAGGGGGTGTTCCAGGTTAGCGGGAGCCACAGATGATCGGGTCAGCTCGTGAAAATCGTGCACCTGGGGCAGGGACCCCATGCAGACGGGCCCCCCGGGAGGGGCCTGCAGAGAGGAGTGCGGAACGACTTGCATCCTCACGGGGCCACGAGCGGCTGTGCCGGGGATCAGCCCGCCTCTAGCGCCGGCCGGACCTGTGGAACATGCCAGCCGCAGCCCCCAGCCAGCTTTCCAAGATAGAGGGGCTACATCAAGTCAGCAAGCGGTTATAAAAATGTGATTGTCAGGGGCGCCTGAGTGGCTCGGTTGGTTAAGAATCCGACTCTTGATTTTGGCTCAGGTCATGATCTCACGGCTCATGAGTTCGAGCCCGGTTTCAGCTCTGTGCTGACGGTAGGGAGCCTGCTTGGGAGTCTCTCTCTGTCTCTCTCTGCCGCTCCCCTGCTCGTGCTGTCTCTCTCTCTCTCTCTCTCAATAAGTAAGGGAACATTAAAAAAATTGGGGAGCGCCTGGGTGGCTCAGTCAGTTAAGCCTCCGACTTCGGCTCAGGTCATGATCTCGAGGTTCGTGGGTTTGAGCCCCACGTCGGGCTCTGTGCTGACGGCTCAGAGCCTGGAGCTGCTTCCCATTCTGTGTCTCCCTCTGTCTGCCCCTCCCCTGCTCACGCTCTGTCTGTCTGTCTGTCTCTCTCTCTCAAAAAATAAATAGCATTAAAAAAGTTTTTTAGTTTGATCTTCATACATTCAAATATATATATTCAGAATGAAAAAAATTTGTTTAAATATGCATAGAGCTATAGTTTTTATTTCTGAAAATCAGCCAAATAATAAAAGACAGCTGGACTGAATCATTATCATGCATGTTTGGCTGTTCTCTTGATGGACTGGCAGAGTTTGGTGAGTAATAAATTAAAGACCTGTAATTCCTAATTATTGCATATTTATGTCTTTCTTCCTCTTATTTCAGAAAGTTACTAATTAGATTGTTTAACAAGATTTTCACAAAAATCTGTGCATTTAGACAGAAATGAGCCAAGTATAATTTATACAGAGTATAAAATGTAAAGGTGTTTTCCTCAAAAATATAAAATAGTGGGGCACCTGGGGGGCTCAGTCGGTTGAGCGTCTGACTTCGGCTCAGGCCATGATCTCACGGTTCGTGGGTTCGAGCCCCGCGTCGGGCTCTGTGCTGACAGCTCAGAGCCTGGAGCTGCTTCCGATTCTGTCTCCCTCTCTCTGCCCCTCCCCCACTTGTGTTCTGTGTCTCTCAGAAATAAACAAATGTAAACAATTTTTTTAAATACTATATATACTTCATATATAAAATACATATGAAACCGAAAATTAAAATTATGTCTATATCTTCAAAAAGTTACTTTTCTTTAAGAATACTCAAAATGGTCTATTAAGGTTATGAGACAAAATATAATGATAAATAACAAAGCTTTAAATCAAGTGTTTAAATAAAGATGAATTTTTAATGCTGTAGTTTGCAGATTTGATCCACTTGTAGTCATTGCTATAAAAACGAAGTCTGTGCGTTTCCGGCTCCCTGTGCATCTGGTCAGCGGTAGAAGGCGGCACGGCACCTGTGTGGTTCCTGCGTGTCTGTCTAGACCCGGCGGCACAGCGGGTGCTGGGTGACAGGACTCAGCAGTGCAGAAGCTTCTCTTGCCAGCGTGTGTAACCGTGAGGTCCAATGCTCATCCGTGAAAAGGTCCAGAGCCACCAAGGCGTGCGCTCCGTGTGGACGCCCCGCATGGCGGGGAAATGAAGCTTCTTCAGGCAGGGATCTTGCTTTCCGGCTCAGAGAGGGTGACAAGTCGATCTGTGTCCGGGCAGCAGTAACGTGTTACCTTCAGAGGACAGAGGCCACGGGCCTGGGGAGCCCTCCCCCGGGGCTGTGAGCCGGGCCCCTCGCGGGGGCCCCACGTGGGTCTCTGCCCCTCGCGGGGGCGAGGGGGTCTGCAGGGCACACTGTGGGCGGGGGGTCCGCAGCGGGGAAGAGGGTCCTACCCAGACACCCAGCCCGCCGTCCGCTCCTCGTGGGGCGCGCGGCCCCCGGCGCTGTGGGAAATCGGCGTCCGTCCTTAAGCCATGGGCCCTGTTCCTCCCAATACGGCCCTGCCCGCGGCTCCGGGCCCCGCTGCGCTTCCTCCGGTTCCCCGTTTCTGAAGTGGGTACGGACCCCAGGGGCTGTGAGGACTGACCGAGGTTGCGGGTGGACACCCCCCGTGCCCGGCAGGGAGCAGCCTCCCTACTCTTGTTTTGAACTGGAGTCTTACTGTGATCGGTTCGGGGGCGAGAACCAGGCCGCGCTCTACAAAGCCTAACGCTGTGCGAGCTGCCCGTGACGGTTGTTGGTCCGGGTTGCTGCTTGGCTTGCACTGAGGGAACCCCACTTTACAGGGTCAGCACTGAGGGAACCCCACTTTACAGGGTCAGCACTGAGGGAACCCCACTTTACAGGGTCAGGGCGGCCCTGAGAGGCTCTGGGCGGTGGAGCGGACGCACCGTCACGGGGGCCTCCAGGTGGCGGGGGCAGGGGCCACGTGTGGCCCCGCGCGCACCAGCTCTCGGCAGCCATTGTCTTCTGTGGACCAGAAAAGCAGAGGCCAGCGATGAAACCACAGTGTGCGGCCTCCCAGTCCCCAGGTCACTTTGTGTTTGTTGGTGACCTGTCAGCACCAACACCCGCATCGACCTGCACGGGTGTCCCACGGACACGTGAGCACAGCCACCCTCGGGCTCTCACGGCACCACTTCCCCACACGAGGCCTGTGCTTCTCCATCAGTGTTGGTGACGCAGTGTTTCCCAAAGAGCCTAGCAGGTAGCCGATGCCCCTTCCAGAACTTTCTGGAGTTGGTCGGAAGGTGTCAATGGAACGTTCTCTGGTAGAAGTGGGAATGCGTACCCCTTCCTCAGGCAGTCTGTGAGGGGCAGCGTGGGGGCGGCAGCTGGACCCCGGGCCACGCGTGCACGTGACGGGTCAGACGTGGGGGAGTCCAGGAAACAGGACGCGTCGGGCCGCGAGCGGCGGGTGCGGAGTTCTCCGAAGCTGGGCTGGAGCCGGTTTGCCACGCTCCATGGGGCTCACCCCCGTGATTTCAGGGACTTGGGGGGCCAGCCATTCAATGTGGCCGAAGTACATCCTCTCACGCACACTTAAATGCCGTGTAGACTGAAGGACTTGATTCCCACTCAGCACTGCATGGTTCAGTCACCGCATTTCGCTGCCGTCTGCACGCTGGAGGTCATTTGTGTCCCGTGTCCGGGCGGGGGGAAGACATAACCGGTGTCCTGGGTGTGGTGCCTGTGTGGACGCGGGCAGGAGTGGCTGCCGGGAAGGCCTCCCCCACCTGGGGGCTTGGGCTGCTTGGAGGGGGATCTGCTTCCCGCAGGCTGACTCAGCCTGTGTATCTGATGCAGGAAGTGCGGGAAAGGGCGGGGGCCGGGGTCTGCTCGGTCCAAACTGCACCCTGCGAACGGGGGGCAGGCAGCGGTGGGCCCTCTGCCCTGTGGGTGGAGAGCCTGCAGCCGGCTTCGGAGAGGGGGTTTTGTGGGACTCGACCAGGACGCTCCCGGGGGGGGATCGCGGCCGCCTTCACGCTGCGGGCGGGCGGGGCCCTCGGCCTGCCCCTCCCGGACACCGCCACCCCGCCTTCTCCAGGAGGGGTGGCCCTCCGGCCGGTTCTCCGACCCTGAGATGTCCGGCACTCCCCTGTAGCAGCAAGCGCAGCCGGTTAAAATGCCATTGTCATGGGCTTTCTCTCCCAGCCTGTGTGAGAGTTCACTCTATTCCCCCCAAAAGTAGCTTGACATTCGGTAAAGTGTTTCCTTTGTTCGCAGAAGAGTATTAAGATCGATTGCTTTGTACTCTGTCTCTTCCAGACCGTTCTCCTCCATTCGGGGTTCACATTAGGGCCACCCCGTCCCCCGGCCCTCCCTCTGGCCCTGCACCCGCTGACGGGTCTGGAAGCGTTCGCTCCAGCCCGGATGGGGTTGTGTCTGCAGGATGATCACCCGCGTGTAAAAAGTAATGTCCGTTTGTTCGAAGGGAAAAACGTGCAAGACAGAGGCCCAGGTGGCGCAGACAGGCGCTGGCGGGCTCTCGTTTGTGTCCCTCCGTGAGGTACAGTCCCACGACCCAGGACTAACGTGGCTGCGGGATGGTAAGAGGGGGAAGTGGCCGCTAGTGCCTTGTTCCCGCTCAGATTTAACCACTGTTGCAAGGCACCCTTCATTCTTAGGGTCTGGGGTAAAATTCTGTTTTTCCCGGCTGTTTTTCCTTCCCAGTTCCAAAACGACACGGGCTTTATCCTAGAGTATCGCTGCAGATTTGTAAGCTAAGGTCAATTGCTTTGTGACACAGCTTCTTCCCGGCCAAGTGGGGGCAGGTGGGTTTGCGGTGCGGGCGTTAGGGTTGCTGGGTTTTCATTTACATCTGCTGATTGTTTCCGGAGCTCACTTCCCTTGTTCTGATACGGAGGGTCATCGTCCCCTGCCAGCCCCCCTCATTCTAAGTCAGGGGCGAACGAGGATGAGGCTGTGGGCGCCGCCGGGGTCCACGCGCTCCGTCCGGCCTTCACTGAGTCTTCCTCGTGAGCTCGGACTCGGGTTAGTGGGCTAGGGGTAGGGTCTTTCCCCATGATTGCTCAGTGAACAGCCAGCAGACCGTTCTAGAACAAGACTTCACAGTATGCAGAGAACGTCGGCCTTCGATGCCTCATGCAGTGTTTGCAACGGCCCTGTGAGTGCCCCGATGACGCTCATCTGGGTCATTGCAGGGGACGCGGGGCCTCGCGCTCAGGGGGACCGGCTCCGGGCTCGTTCGCAGCCGGGCTGTTGAACTCGGCCGTCTGCACACAGGGACTTTGTGCAGTGTTTTCCGTAGAGGGAAGTGCTCGGTGTCCAGAGTGATGAGCGCTGTGAGCTGACCCCTGTGCTTCTTAATTTCTCCTAACAGTTGACAACAAGGGCAAGCTGGAAAAAGCGTCCGGACTGGAAATCCTTCAGGCGGGCAGCGGGCCGGTGAGTACAGGAGGGGCCGCCCTCTGAGCCGCGCCGGTGGGGGCGCCGCTGCCGTCCGCGGGGAGGCTCCGTGTCACGCGGTGCTGACCGGGGGAGGCCGGCGTTGTTACCTCCCGCTGTTGAACACGCTGGTCCACGGAGCCTGGCGGAGGTGGCGCTGCGTTTGGTGGCATCTGAAGGGGTGTGTCCCCCTGGGAAAGCAGCCACGGGGTGGGGAATCGCTGAACCTTCAGAAAACACGTCCTTCCTTCTTCAGAGGGCTTGTTACTGCTAAGCTTGTGGACGTGTTCCAGCCGCAGGCACTTACCGTGCCCTCCGGGGGCCCGGGGATGGCCAGGCCACTTTTACGCAGACACACGTGTTTGGGCTGGGACGCCGTGCGCGCGAGCGCCTCCGCGGTATGACTGGGTGACACGTTGGTTACGGGAAGAGGGGTTGACCGAACACTCTGTCAGCAATCACAGCGACGGCGCTCACCTCCGGGCCCCGGCTGGCGCCCACGTCCCCGACTCAGGGCAGCTCCGTGAATTGTACGCGGGACGACGTGATTCTCGCAGGAGTGGTCTCCTGCCACTCGTAAGGCAGCGTGGGCCGAAACCGATTTGTGCCGTTGCGTCGAAATGTTAGATTTCACGGCTCTCGCCGTTACAGACGATTAACTGCTGGGGGCGGCTTATTTACGAGTGCTCCTTGCCACGGTGGAGAAGTCCTCCACCGAGCCACTCACAGGCGAGCCGCTCTTGGGGGGACTCTCCCATTCAGCGGCTGTGAGTCCTGGCTCTTGGAATAAAAATTTAATTTTTTTAAAATTTTTTTTAATGTTTTTTATTTATTTCTAGGAGAGAGAGAGAGAGACAGCGTGAGCAGGGGAGGGTCAGAGAGAGAGGGAGTCACAGACTGAAACAGGCTCCAGGCTCTGAGCTGTCAGTCAGCACAGAGCCCGACGCGGGGCCCGAACCCACGAACCGCGAGATCCTGACCTAAGTGAAAGTCGGACGCTTAACCGTCTAAGCCACCCAGGCGCCCCTGGAATAAAAATCTTAATTAGTCGTTCTTCACAGACAGGCTCCTGCGCTTACCGAGCAGCGGGCAGGCAGGAATAGCCTTGCAGAGAAGGGGCCCTGTGCCCGCGTCCCTGTCACGCGAGGGGCCAGGCGGGGAAGAGACTGGCAGGAGCTGGTCAGCAGAGGCTTGACGGGGCCCCGACACCCCAGTATGCCTGGTCCCTTGGCCGCCAGCTCGGGCCGGGAGGGTGAGTGTGGGTCAGGTGAGGAGGGCCTGCCCCCGGCCCCGCGTGCAGGCAGCGAGGGGAGGAGGAAGCGGAGACGGTCCTGAAACGGCCGGGCCCCGGGGAAGGAGCAGTGGCCAGTGGCAGAGAGAGCCAGGATGGCTTGGAGGGCCGGAGCCTCGATGGGGGGTTCTGACCGTGCAGCAGCCACGTGCAGCCCCCGCCCTCCTGTCCCGCCGCAGCCTCGTGGGGGGTCCTGTTCCGTGTCGAGTCGTTGCCACGGGAGGTGACTGGGGAGAAGGTCCATGCTGCTTCTGGCCCGGAAAGCTCTGGTGAGGAGCCCGGCCTCACTAGGGGCCGTGGGAGGGCGGAGTGGGGGGGGGGTGAGGACGAGGGCAGCTGGCCCGAGACCCCAGTGCGGCGCCTGGTCCCTGGGGGCCCTCTTCCCGAGGGAAACAGTAGTTTCGGAAAAGAGAGGGGCCCCGGTGATGGGTCAGGCGGGCTTTCGGAGGCCCTGCTCCCGCGCCGGCTGCGGGACGGGGGGACCCCCACCCTCCACTGCTGGGGGGACGCTGCTCAGACCCGGGGGTCGGGACGCTGTGACTTCATGTCCTTGCTCCTCCCCGGCATCTTGGCCAAACCCTGCTGCCTCCCTGCCTCCCCCGGGGCGACCCCCCCGCCCCCCTCTGCCCTCCAGGGCCTTGCCCTCCGACCCAGCGCATGACGTGCTGCGAGCATCCACGCCCCGGTCTCCGCCCCCCCGCACGGCACAGGAGGTGATCCCGGCGCCCCCCTCTCTTGGGTCCCCGGGAAGATTCACAGGAAGATTCCCTGCTTCCCCCGCCCTGTGTGCTGTCGCCGTGCGGCCCCGCCCACCCTGCACCCCCGTGGACCCGCCAGATTCCCGAGAGCGGCTGTGAGCAGCCCCAGTCGTGCCCCGGCCTTTACTTCTCCATCATTTCGGAATCTGGACGTTACCCTTCCTTCCTCGGTCTCAGTTGTGTGTGGTGTTTGGTGGGTGTGTTTTCCTTGCTGTCTCTGTGGTCCGCGGTGAGGCCCACCCCGCCCCGTGCGTTCATCACCCCTTGTAACGGTGCCTACTGCGCGCCTGCAGGGTGCCTGGCACCGTCCGAGGGCGGGTGTGTGGCGGGAGCAGAACAGACAGGCCCCTGCGGGCTGCAGGTCCCCTCCCCCGGAACTCGCGGGCCACGGAGCGGAACCCGGGGGCCACGGAGGGACGAGGCTCGCTGTCCCCTCAAGACACAGCCTCCGTTGGTTTTGTCTGCTTGTCCCATGTGGACAGACCATGTCTGTGTTTTCTGTGCCACGAGCCGCCCACCAGGTCCACGTCAGGACCACGAGCCACGTCCACGTCCAGACGGCCTCGGCGCTGCCGTCACTCAGGTCCTCTTCTCCGTCCCCACTGCCCGGCCTCCTTCCTCGTGGGCTTATGAGCCCCACAGGCCTTGACGTGTGCCTTTGTCCGGACCCGCAGACATGCTCGCCCTCCCCTCCTCAGCTGTCCACCAGGATCACGCCCGTTTCCTTCGTCCGCTCGTCCCACAGCGCCAGGCTTCGGTGCAAACGTCTGTCTTCTGGGACCTCCCGCGGGGCCGCGGTTTCAGGTGGAAGAGCGTCCCCCGAGCGAGCGCAAGCTCAGCAGCACAGATCTCAGAGGACGACCCTCATCCCCAAGGGCGTCCCCTGGCCCCAACCCCGTGCGCTTGCTTCACAGCCCCCTCCTCCCTCCCACCACAGCCGCCCCACGTGTGCGCCACGCACCCGCCGCCCTGTCCACATCCTGCCACGTGTCTCCTGGGCCGGAGCTCTGCACGCTCCCTGTGTCTACACTGCCAGCGGGGACGAACGTCCGGGTCCTTCTCCAGGCGTCAGAGGCCCTGCTCGTGCCCTTTCTGCAGACCTGCCCGCCCCCCCGGCGGTTACACATCAGCCCCCCTCGGGCTCGTTACTGTCGGCGCACAGCCCGCCCCAGCGTTTCTCATGCCGTTAAATCAGAACCCGCACGAGGTCCCTTCCCCGCACTGGCACGCACTTCCCACGCCAGCGCTCGCCGCTCGCTGCCCGAACCCCGTCACTGCACCCAGCCTCCTGTGATCGCGGCCACCAGCCCCCTTCCCGGACTGCGGCCCCCTGTCCCCCGCAGGGCTCACTGCCCTGCCTGCCTTGGGGGGCCCTGGCCACCGAGCTCCCCGCTCTGATGGCCCCAAGGCGTCCAGGCCTTGGCTTTGTTCCTGTAGGATGGGGACCCAGACCCCCCAGACCCACGCGCTCACTGTGCCCCACTCGCGCCTGCATCTCTGCACCCGGGGGTCTGGCCATCTCGGCTCCCGGGTCCAGAGCAGCAGGCCCGCGCTCCCCACCGCCCCCTCCAGCCCGAGTTTCTGTGGCTGTCTGCAGGCCACGCTGTCTAGGCGCTGGATCTACCCGCCTCCCCTGCAGGTCGGTGGTCCGGCTATGGTGGGGGGGGGGCAGGGCGCCAGCAAGGCCCCTCCCCCCCCACGGCACCGTCTCCTTCCTTTCCACCCTCCTGACTCGTTTCCCTCTGCTCCCTGGGTGGCCAGAGCCTGACCTCCCCATCTTCAGGGGCAGAAACAGCCGCCCCCACGCGTGGGAACCAGCTGTGAGAGCTCGCCCGCGTCCCCGCTGCCCCCCAGCCGCGCCCCCGCTGCCCCCCAGCCGCAGCCCCCGCTTCCTTGCCCACCGCGTGTGGAGACCAGCTCTCCACCCACCCGCCCTTGCCGCCTGGCGGTCTCGGAAGGCAGTGCGCCCTCACCTTGAAGGTGATGAGGTCGTATTTGGCCGGTCTCCAGCCCAGGACCCCCGCACCCCCAGACTTCTCCCAAAGCCAAGTGCATTGAGAAGCCGCCCTGGAGGAGGCAGGGAGGTGCCGGGAGATTGGGAGCAGGCTTTGGGGGGTGAAATGGGAACACGGGGGGCAGGGAGGTAAAGCTGGGAACGTGTCTCTGTTAACCGTGCGAGCGCTGTGAGGCCGGTTCTGATGATTCTGTGTTGGGTTTTTTAATGTATTTGCTGCGAACACCTCTGCTAGTTCTGATGCGGAGTGCGCGTGGACGTGGCTGCCGGAGGCCTCGCGGTCTCCCGCCCTGGTGCTGGTGACTCACACGCGTGGTAGGAGACTGAGCCAAAGCCCCGTGAGCCCAATGGAAATCTCTCAAAACAAAATTTAGAGGAAATGAACAGATTACGGTGCACACACACATTCCTAATAGATCGAGGGTATTTTGACATGTTTCAGGATCTACTTTCTGACATCTTGAAAGTGTTTGCATTTTCTTCAAATTAATAAAGTCATATTTCTTCCAAAGGAAAATTATAATATTACAAGTTAAAAAACCCTCAGATATTTAGAAGAAAAATAATCTAGATGCTTGTCACCAGGAGGCAGACCCATGAGTCTAGCTCCCATAAATGCATGTGAAATAGGAATTACTTTCTGATCTCCTGACAGTGTCCTGAACTCACGAACCTTCCCAGCATCTCAGCGGGAGAGCGGCTGACCCTCAGCCTCGGCATGGCTCCCCGAAACTCAGCGAGGGGGCTCAGGGGGCGCCCACCTCACCACACAGTGCTCCTGGTTCAGCCTGGCGCTGCGGGCCCGCCACAGGAGGGGCCCGGGTGGGGGTGAGCTCTCCGTCACCCGGCAGATTCAGGCGGAAGAGAGATGGCCAGCTGCTCATATTCTGAGAAAGGAAATCTTTCCATCTAGTGTAGGGAGAGAAAGTTTTCCTCA